TCATACATTCCCTATGAAAATTGTTTTTTAAGGTTTAATGTAGGGACCTAACTTCATATTTTTTCTCCCGAAAGTTATCAACAACGCTTTATAATAACCAAGTCTATTTTTAGATTCATTTTATTAGTTCCCTAATCTTTTTATCTAGTCTTGTACCAATTTTTGTATTTCTTTCATAATATGAATACTTCAGTTTAGTATATTTTAGGGCAAGATTCCCTTCAATACCTTCCTTTTTTAAAAAAAGAAATCATATTCAGTAATTCCTCTAGATGCTTCAAATCATTTTTTCAAGGTTGAACAATACACTTAGGATTTTTAAGGGAATTACAAACCATTTCCTTCGCAGGAATGCTTTTCTTCCACCCTCCACATAGGAAAGTTCCTTTTTTTTTTTTCTTCCCGCCAGACCAAACTAAACATGCCCCCACTCTCTGAAGTCCTTCCCAGCTGCACAGGCAACTAATTGCTCCTTTCTTTGTGCTGTTTTGGTTCTTTGTGTCCCTTTAAATGTACTAATCATACTAAATTGAAATTTATATGTTTGCCTGCTTGTATTCTCAACTATTCCCAATTTTAAGGAAAAACAGAGATTGCATTTATTTTTGAATCTCTACTGTACTTGCATGCATTCAATACAGGTTTAGTGAAAGCATGAATGAAAAGTATGAGTCAAACTTATTGACCCAAGAGTCTGGAATTACTGATAGACTGTGGCCTGAGCCATTTGGTGTCAAGATTAAAAAAAAAAAAAAAAAAAAAAAAAAAAAAACTACAATCAGATTCTTGTGTATTTATAACCTCAAAAGTGTTAAGAAAGTTTTATGCTGTTTATCTTCACAATGACATCACAGATCAAGGAAATTGAGGCTAATGTATTCACGTAAAAAATAATTGTATCAGTGAACAGATTTTTCCATTCACCATGTGTTCTTTCTCTGCCTCGACATCATATGTGAACAGAAGCCAAATCTCATTATCTGCCTCACATATCAATACAGAATTGGGTTTCTTGTCTTCAACCATAAGGTAATGACAAAACACTTCAGAGCCAATGTACTCTTTGGCCAAATATCTAATGTTGCATTTCTAGATTCTTCTTCAGGTGGGAAAGTGGTACACATGACTACCTGAATTTTTAGCAGGGCATGGCTGGCAGGGCTCTCCGAATCCATAGTCTGGATTGGCACAGCAGCATTCGGACTTGGTCACCGCACCAGGGAAAGGACGCACGCACACTCCCTTCTTGATTCCACCATAGCAGGTACTGCGCATGTGCGTATCTAAAGGCCACGGAAGGACAATGGCTTCAGGTAAGGATAGAGACACAATGATTTCACACCCAAGCGTCTTTTAATCTTAGTGGCCACTAGATCGAAAGCTTCTAGAGGGAACCTACTACTTCTCTTTTGCATCTTTAGCGTTTAACAGTGTTAGGAAAACAACAAATGTTTGTTGAGTCAGAAAAAGCATGAATGCATATCAACAACTTTTTTGTGTGTGCTACACAAGAATCCATGATCCCCTTTATCTTCACAGGCCTTTCATTGAACCACAGATATTTCCTGTTATAAACAGCACTTTGGGCTTTAATCACTGACTATGCAATCCTCAAAATGACACTTATTACTTCTATTTTAGAAGTTCTCATGAAGAGTGAAGTGCAGTGAAGTTAAACTACCTTGTGGTGATGCTGCTTGGCCATGAGATTTCTTACCTCAACCTTCTGAGTTAGGAGGCCTTTCTTTTCAGCTCCCGGGATAATGCTTGTGACTGTGTTTTAATATCAGACAGTCAATAAATCCAGTCATAAAAATAATAACTGCCACTATGTGTCCTTGGCATTTCACTAGTTGCTTTATAGATATTATCGCACTGAATAGTCAGGTCAACAACTCTGTATAATAGTGGTCATTATCCACATTTTATAGATGGGGAAGATTAAGTTCAGAGCTACATAAGTAGCTCAAAGTCCTAGAATATCCAGTGCCTGAGTTGGGATTTCAGCTGGGCTTGTGTGACTTCCAAAGCTCTTCTTCTTTCCACTATGTCATGCTACATCCCAAAGAAGCATTTCCTGCTTACTTGTCTCATTCTCAATTTTTACGAAATATTCCACAATTTTATGAGACAGTAAATGGTAAACTATAAAAAACAATTCAGATCATCATAAAGGCCAGAGAAAGAATATGATTTTTAAGCAGTATACTGACATGACAATTTCATCAAAGAGATAACTCTTATTATAAATATCTATAATTATTCACACCTTGTTAGAAATAATTTTATCTGCTTGTTATGCAAAATGAGTCATCTAATGATTTCTTAATGTCTGGGGTGTTTCTCACGAAAGTAATATGATTTATAGCTGCATTAAGCAATGAGATATGTGTATGCTCAAATGGAAGAAAGCCATGAGATTTACCACCCCCATCCCTGAGAAGCCCATTTACAGACCTTTTCTGCTTCTGCTATGGCTGAGTTTGTGTAGAGTTTGCTCTCAACTACACACAAACACAGGACTTGACACAAAGACAAACTGGTACAAATACAACATAATTCATGATTTCTCATATGATTTTTGTGAGCTCTTTGGACTTTACCAGTTATCTTGGAAGGCATCAAAGAATGGTCAAAGCTATTTCTGTTTTCATATTAGAACATATGCCAGGCACAATTTTTAGAAACAAGTAGATAAAAAGCCTGTGGACCTCACTGGAGGAGTGAGACATGTCACATACTGGTTTGTGTTACAGGTTAACTAAGCCGTTTAGAGTATGCAAAAGCAGAAGTTCCATGGAAAAGAAAGTAGCATAACTTATGTGTGGGTTTTAGGGACATAAAATGTGTTGGGTTCAGATCCCCATGGGGTGATCTTATGAAAATTATTTAATACCTTCCTTATCTATTAAATAAGGTTAGAATTTATATAATAAATGAGAGTATATTTGTTAAGCACTAAACACAGTGCCTAGGACACACAGAAAATACTAAAAAAATCATGGCTACCTTATATACCTCTTCTATCTTTAATGAGGACAGTCAACATTTTTCTGTTCAAAGACCCCGGGCTGGTATCTTACTTCATATTACATTATTCAAATGTCGCTAAGCCACTGTTCATAGGTTGATAGGATAAGAGGACTAACACCAGCATTACCATCAGAATGTGCTCACGAATGCTCTGCTGGGGTGTGGTAAATGCTAAGGTATACCTGTTCTATATGTTATCAAATTTCTGCACACTTTTTCTTTCTTAAAAAATGGGACTTTTTAGGTTCTTCTCAGGAATTAACAGATTTTATACACCACTGGTAAAATATGTATGGATGCAAAATGCTAATTTTATTTTTTCTTTCTTTAGTATCAACTTTATTACTTAAAGCAGCAACTGTAAGACCATGCCTTAGATATGATGCCAGTATTCCAATTTAAAGTGGTTAACTTACTGGGCATTTGCTATGTGCCAGACACTGTTCAAAGCTATGCACTGTTCAAAGATACTTTCTGATATTAGCTTATTTAATCCTTAAAACAACTAATGAAGAAAGGGGGCAAAGAGAGGTCATGTATCTTGCTCAAGACCACAGAGTTAGTAAGTAGCAGAATTTGGATAAAGAAAAGAAAATTAACCTTTTAACCAGCAGAAATGTCAGTGTTCAAAAAGATGTTAAAATGTTCTTAAGCTAATGTAACAGGATGCTAAGAAGAAAATTTAAACTGAAATCATCCTATGGCACTAATTATTAAACAAGGTGAATTTTGAGACCCCCATCTTGAAGGAGGTAAATATTGAAAAATTACTTTCCCTGATCCCTAAGCCCCCCCTCCCCCAACATCAAGGATATAAATAGTTTAAGAGAGTGGTGATTAAGAGAAGACTTCCTGAAGCAGATTTTTGGTTTTTTTTGGTAAGAGCTGGGTTGTGAGTTGGGACTGCTTCCATCCTCGTGTCTGGTTAAGAGGAAAGAGCCTCACAAGAAGCACTTAAAGAGTTCTGGACCCACTCCCACCTGGGCTACCTAACAGGCAAAGACCAGTGGCTGTTATTCCTAATGCAGGAACCAAGGAGCACAACGATGGTGGGGATAATAAGATAAACCTCTCTTCATGTAGCTGACAGGGCAGCGGATGGGAGTGTCTTACAGATCGGAAGTGGGACATGTTAAGAGGGGGTCCCAAGACGTCCGAGTGAAGGGGTGGTGAGACACACTCAGAGAAAGTCTGTGTGAAGGGGACTGCTAGAAGATCCGAGGCTGGGTGAGGAGTGGCTGCCAGGAGAAAAACGCACTGTCTGTGTCTCAGGAAGGGCAGCTGAATGCCTCTGATGTACCCCACGAAATTGCCCACAGGGAAGAATCTTTAAAAATCTGTGAAGCCCAGAAATCTTGAAGGCAACTCAGGACAGTCAGTAATATAGGAATTTCCCTGCTTCAACCTTCTACCCTTTCCTCCTCCACTTTGAGCCTGGTGGAGTGAGAAATCTTGTTTCTTGAAGATCCGAGCTCGGAAGAAAAGTTCTACCTTAAAATCCGGTTCAGGGTATTAATTATTATATGGCAGTGAGCATTCTAATTTCTAAATTCAGATTATTTTTGTTACATAAAGTCATCATAGAATATATATATATATATATTTTTTTTGCCTTTTTCCGTGTCCGGCAATGGATCGCAACCCTCAGTGTCGCCCCCGTACCGGACCGGGA